AAACATATTATATCTATACATAAAGCCGCTATGTCTGTCTGTATATTCGCGATAATATAAATAGTAATGAACGGATTTTTACGCATTTTTCATTGATCAACAGAGTCCCCTATATATCTATATATGAACAAGATCAGTATTATGAACATCATGTCATGTGATGCTCGATGTACCTTGCATTGCGTTGCCATTGCGTTACTGGGGAAGATGTCATGCTTTGTCATGTAAAATTTCACCCTTTAATCATATACACAGCTCACGAAATAAACTGTTTGGTTTCTAATGTATGTACTCCGACCACTATTTACAAAGTGTAAGTACCTCGGCAATCGTTTAGTCGTTAAGACATGTCACCTAATAAATAAAAAAATTGCTTTGACCTTTATAATTTTAAATAGAATAGTCGTGTAACATTTGTGAACTACTAAAATTAGTTCTCCAAACCTTTTTTTGTGGAAACGCGTGTGTTTTGTAATTGTTATTTTTTTTATATTATATTATATTTTATTTACATAGTCCATTATATGCGAGCGCACTGAAACAGCCCAAATTAATGTAGGCTGTTATTTTTATCACAGAAAAACTAACAGTTAGATACTTGTTTATTCTCAGTATAAAGATTTTTTTGTAACTTTACTAGTAGAATTAGTATAATAATTAGATAGCAGAGTAAAATAACAGATAAATAAAATATTATACTTTGCACAATTTTTTCTAATGCAAAAGTTAGAGTCATAAATACGATTAATACTATTTGTATAACCAGTTCCAGTGAGTTGAATGAATACGAAAAGCATATAAACATTCATTCAAAACAAAAGAAAAAGGGGAAGCCGTCGAAGTGGCGCCCTTATCTGATGTTCGAAGAAATGTAAAATAATTACTGCAAAGTGCTTTTACCAACCCTTTCTCTAATCACCACCGAGGGTCCAGGCGAGCCCTTAAAAAAATCCGATATAATCCTGGAACGTCGGAATCACACTAAAACGTGGATACTTTTATCCGGCTAATCCCAATCGTCTTCGCGGATTAGCGATGTAACATCGGGAGGCTGGAAAAATGCAAGAAGCAATCTAGCAAATGGCATTAAAATGTTTGGGTTCAACCCTCTCGCGGCGCGATGCGATTTTTCAAAGTCGTGAAGAAAAAAACCCCTTTTGTCCGACGCAATGTTGCGAACTGGTACGTCTTCCGCTGCGGCCAATTCTACTAAAGTATAACAAAACTTGTCTTGATACTCTTTACCACATACAAGAAGATGACACAAATAACAGGATCTATATTATTTGTTTATTAGAATCTATCTAATAATCATAAAAGAGATTAAATTATAACTATTCTATGAATATTTCAACATTTAATTTGAAGATTAATAGCAAAGAGAAGAGGACAGTATAATATTTATTGTTTTCATTGTAGTTTCTATGAAATATGCCATTGAAGTTGTAAAGTTATAATAATCTGATGATACTCAAATTCCGATGCAAGATTTTTTAATAGTAAGTGTTCTAATCATTTGAACCGCTCAGAAGTTGACCCGTGACCGTTATCTTGACTTCTTGAAAGTATCCTATGGTTACTACTAAATAGCTTAAATGATTAAAATATATGTCTAATAATGAGCCCGTTCTGTACCTATATAATGTGTAGTTCTCAACTAGAAATATATAAAAGTATCAAGATTGTTGGGATGTCACAGAGTGCACACAAAGAATTCAGATGTTTTTAACGAATGCAAATCGTCTGGAACTGCCTTTTTCTTTTGTAACTTTCAACGCAGAATACAAAATGAAACAATGCCCTTACATTTTTTATGACGTTGATAAACCGATGAAATGAATCTAGGTAGCCACTGGAGCGTGATCTGGTAAAGAGCATGTTTTTATATTTACTTTCGTAGACATTATCTACCGCGGTTTATTACTACAAATAATGACTCAATGATGATTAACAGTCTGCAGATCATAGATTTTAAAAATTATAGGTTTTTAGAAATAAGGTAGTGTCTTAGATCAATATTAAGACTACATAAAGAAGCGTCAATTAGCTATCAAATCCAAGTTATCGTTTAGAAACAATAGTCTTAACCCGTCCATCGAGAATTCAATTCTTAAATCATTATCGTAAAAGCGTGAGCCGCTCGGAGGCGAGATTAAGCAGGCTTAATCCTAAAAAGCAGCTATTCTCTAATTGCAACGAAGCCATAAAGCACTACACCTATAAAGGCTAAGCGGTCGGATTCAAAATAATGTGTTTAACATTTTCGTAGCGACGGTATCTGCGACATAAAACGGCCTGTAATTTATTCTATTGCTGAAAGGGTTGGGTTGGTTCGGGGAGGGAATTACCCAAGGTGGGTGCTAAAGGGTTAAGCCGAATATACGGGGTCGCGGCGCCGACAAACTTTGTTAATTTATGCGCTTAAAAATGTCAACTGGAAATTATGACGCCAAAACACATTTCCTATATATTTTGTGGAAGGCATTGTAACATTAATATGTTATTTTTATTGTTTGGGCACGGTCAAAAGCAAAGTCTTTTGCTTGACTGGTCCATAGTACGTAGAATGTTTCATTAGTAATATGGTGTGTTTACCAATATTATTATTTATTTTATATGCTTTTAACATAATTAGTTTAACTTAATTTTTTTACGGCAGCCATAAGAACCTATAAAATAAATGAAACAATGTATGTTTGTCTATTTCTGCGCTTACTTCTAAATAATGCGACTGATTTTGATGAGATTTTTACTTGGACGTAATACATGTCTCATCATTATTTTTCACTGTAAGATTGAATTAAGAGGCTACTAGGAGAGCAAAGTGTAAATAAGTCAATGTAAAAAAATAATAAATAAGACACAATAGGTGGCTTACACCTAGTCAGATTGGTAACAATGTTGTGGAGCCTACTAAGACACCGATAAGAGGTTGTTACGAGTATTTAACACAAATAAACAAAGATAGGTAATAATTGTTGGAACTGTAACAAAAATAATTATAAAAATCTTTTTAGTATATTTCATTTATAAACAGAGAACTCTGTGAGTACTATTGTTTTTTGTTTTTTTGTTACACCGCTGATTATATTACAATTATTATAAAAATATATACTTATGATTTAATTCTCAATTTTGGTGTGTTTTATTTGCATTTAACTATCATTTTCATAGATCTGTTTGAAATTCACACTGTAATGCTTAAATTTATATTAATAGTTTCCAGGCTGTATCTATAAATTAAGGCCGAGATACATAATTTATTCTTCCTTGCGTTTAATAATAAAGAAATCTACTAAACAGAGTTGCAGTGATAAAAAGTACAATGATGTCAATTCATTAGATTGGGTGCTGCCGGTGCCACAAACAGACTTCGAAATAATGTCATTAACTTAAAAGCCCCTTAGATTGCATTGCGAGTTTAAAAAATATCAATTACAATTCAATTAGAACCTCAGTAGGTACTATTGTGGTGTGTCGTCAATGATGTTATAAGATTTCAGAATAGATGATTACTATTGTCAATTACAGTACTTCAGTGAAAAACAAATCAACACGTCTAAATATGAAGGAATTATATATAAATATATATGTTTGCACAATTATATGTCGATAAAGAACAACTTAAAAATTATGAGTCACAATATTACTTTCTTCTCAACAGTTATTTGAAAGAAAGAGCAACGCGTAAGGTTGCTCATACTTCTTGTGGTGAAACAGCTTTTCAAATGAGCGGTAGAATAAAAAGAAAGTTAGACTCAAAAGTGCTTGAATTTAAGTCTATTTGAATAAAGAATTTTCTATTCTATTCTATTTCAGTTATATCTTATCTTTTAAAAACTCAATCTTAATTATTTACGAACAGAGGACCTTCCGGTGTCTTTGCTAGTTATATTTTATCACTATCACAACCGTTGCTTAAACTATCAGTACGACATTCAGCTTCATCAAGAAACTATGCTGTTTATAGAGAGTCATATATCGGCTCTATATGGGCTCTCGAAATTAAAAATATATTTTTACCGTGTGTAAATAATAATTAATATTTTATTAAGTAGGTAAGTAATTAACTATTTAATTACTACCAAAATATGCAGAGTAGCAAATATAGTATGTATATAAATATAAGTCAATATTGTAACCAATATTATAGCTGCCTTAAATTAAACAAAAGATGGGAATAAGTAAACAGAAATATTTGTTATTACCAACACCTAGATAATTTTTTGATCAATGCCTGATCCTGTTTGAGGTGGGTATTTAATTCACAAAACATTGTTAGCTTCTATTTTGACTGAGTTGATTTCAAACATCTCAAAGTTGTCAACTGAGTTGTTAGTAGGCATCTATTGAGGAGTGCCGAGGTAGAGATAAGGCGCGAATTGAAACAAGCTTTGTGGAGGGCGGCCGGGGAGAATCGTCTCACTCATTATTTAAATATTCTGTTGACTGCGTTAAGCATCCAGTTAGCGTTAGTGGAGCGTTCACGATAAATCTGACGCCTTTGTTTTGTTGATTGAGTTTTGATAGTACTTTAGTAGGTTAGAGTTTATACACTATACGAGTACGTCTTAGACGAAATTGGAGGTTGGATTTGTTATATGTTAGTTCCACGATTATATATATTATACTTACTAACATATTAGTGGTAGTCCTACATGTTGTATGATACGTGGGCTTTATGAAAGTAACGTTTAAAGAATATTAAATTTAGAAATGAATATTTCTTTGGTACTTACGAAAGCAGCCTCCATGTACATAAATATTAAAATCTAGAGACGAAATAGGTAAAAAATATTGACAAGACGTATATGTCGAGCTAACAACATATCAAACATCACTTATTAGAAGCCTTGAAAATTAAAACAAGAGAAGTAGAACTTAATCGTGACATTTATAAAAGAAATATGTTATACTTGCTCAATAATACAATTTTGAAAGAATATAGACTTATAAACTTCAATATTACTAATAAAAATAAATGTATAATATTGTTTCAGGTATAGCACATCAATTAGCTGGTCTGCCGGGTGGCGAGTGGGGTGCGTTAGCGCGGCATTATCCCCCGCCTTTGCTACCGACGCACGCGCACTTCACCCCGCATGTACTTCCGCCTGCGCACACGCAGCCACAGCATGTTCCTCCGCCACATATTGATACAGGTAAAATATTATCAATCTCCTCAGTACACCTAGATTTGATTAAATTAGCTGAATCGACAACAAAATTGATAAAATTAAAAAGATTTTAGATTTTAAATAAAGAATTTAATAATGTATATACGTATTTCTATAATAATTTATCTTGTTATTAAATAACACAATAATTACAGATACGACGTCAGAGAACCCAATAACGATGCTTGCGCACAGCACGACCAGTCCTGTCAACTCTCGCCCGAGTTCACCACAAGACGACGACATATCTGTCACCGCTTCCAGCAGTCCACCTCCCGACGACCGTCCAGGAGCTTTCACCTCTGTCACCAGAACTAGAAAGCCGCTGCAACCCCTGCCAGCACCGTCCAGTCTCTTCCACAGCGCTTTAGCAGCACAACTATTCCTTAATTCTCCGCTTCTACCGACACCGCCCGCGTGGCTGTATTCCCAACTCTACGGTGGCTACGACTGGTGGTTGAGACCACCTGCGCCACAAGAGGATTCCAATTCGAGTCCTGACAGAGAAGAGGAAGGATCAACCGCGTCAGGCCCGGGAAAGAAAAGGCCAGCGTCCCCGGAGTGGACCGATCAAGGAGTCAGAACTCGTAGCAAATCACTCATAACTTCGGATAGACGGCCAGTGGATGTGTGGCGTCCGTATTAAAATTTAAACTAAATTATAAAAGACAGTTCATAACCACTAACTGTGGCAAGTATAAGTTTCAAGTAAACAGTGTTTGGTGTTTCGCTTGTTTACCGTCCGAATTAAGGCTAGGCTCACATTGTTACGTTCAGTACGGACGAACAGTGCCGATAACGCCATTCGATTGGCGTATTTGTAAAGAGTGCGGGGCGTAGCAATCCATACGCCAATCGAAATATCCGAGGCGTCCGATTCTTACCGGGAATGTGTGGCCAGCGTAAGTGAAATGGACACGTTTGTGAAAAAGGACGAGTTAGTGTTAGTATCCTGTAAAACCTGGCCCAAATGGCTTTTGACTCTTCAATATTATCCAACTTTAACGCACCGAATAGTTCATCCCAATGGTTGCAGTAAATCATGTTTACAAGTTATATAATGCGTCCACCAATCAATTTAATGTTGGATACGATTACTAGTACGATTGTTGTGTGGTCCACGTTTTATGTCAAAAACGAATTCGATAACATAGTGATTATTGTCGATAGGTGTTTTTACGTTAGTTAAATGAATGTGAATCTCAAATGGTAATGTTTAAAGAAATTGTTGACTGTATTATAAGATAATGCAAATCTGTAAATAAAGTTATCGATTTTTTTATTCAAAGGCATTTTTATTTGTACATCCGTGTCAGACATATTTTTTTAAAAACATTGAATAAATATATAAAATCCTCAGAATTATTATAGCAGTAGTTTGGCTCGACGAAATGGTTTGGATTGTATCCATATTATAACAAAAACCACAAGAGCAGCAAATTTGGCATGCATTCGAAAAATATTTTAATGTAATAGGTATTTGCCTACTTCAGTTCTCTACATGTTGCTTGGTTTGAATATGGTTTACAAACATGACGAGGTAAGTAAATACTTACTGGAAATTTGATATATCTAATAAAAATTAAAAGATTAATATTCATACGTTATGTTGAATTAAAATAGTGTATAATATAATAATTATTATTACTGCGGATAAATTACACAGCTCCATCCAGTCCTAAGCTGAGCAGGGCTTGTGTTATGGGTACTAGATAACTGATAGAAGGTCAGTTAGCACATCGTGACAAGTTTATTAGGAATTTATCCCGATGGATTCCAGGGGGAACCGCGTGGAGGTCAATCTGAAGACTAATATTTTGCAAATATATACATAATATACATAAAAAACAACCAGGCGGATACAATCATACTTATGAATACAAATGTTTGTATTTATGAGTATGATTGTTGACTCGGATCGAACTCGCGACCATCGAAGGTACCTAGGGCGGTATGCCAAACCGTTAGACAACCGAAGCCATTATTATAGTTAGAGCGTTCATAATTATGGTACGTACTTTAAATAAAACGAAACGTTTTGTTTAATTTGAATTTTTAATTATAATAAACTTAATGCAGACATGATTTATATTAGGTATATTTTTGGGATAATAAATAAAAAGGATATCATAAACAATAATAAAAAGATTTTGTCTATACTACTTCGCGCCAGAACAATTGAAAATCTCGTGCGTGAATAATAAAATGTTACTGTTTTTAATGGATTTCTGATATTTAAATATACTTACATATATAGATGCCCTATATATATTTATTTCCAAATAAACGTTGAAACATCATTTTGGGCATACACATGATTGTGAACTTATACACCTTGTATCAATAAATTCCATCAGCCTTAAAACACCGTTGAAGACTTCGAGAGAAGTAGAAATAATTTCTTCTTTGGGTAAGAGGAACCTATGTTTCTTTCCTCTCAACTCTATCATATATGAGTAAGGTATGTTGGCGACAGCATAACTCCAGTCTGTGCTAGTACCGGCTGCAAAGTACATGAGGTCTTTGGTGCTGCCGACTTTGTAAGTATGACCACTAGTTTCTTTGATGGCCTGCAGGAAAATGAAATTATTCACACGCTTAATAATAGACTCGTTAAATCAAAAAAGCACGTTTAATATTATTTTTAATGCACTTTACGAAACGTGGGAAGTATCTAATTAAACATTATATTAAGTAGCTTCTAATTATATTAGAAATATATTAAAATAATAGCTATATAATATTTAAGTACTTTTGATTAGTATTTTTTATTCTAGCGATAGCGGTATTCCTAATATTCATTTAGCCGAAATATATTATTAGTTCATCCGGTAAACGTTATTTTGATATATAAATTAATCAGTTATCAACCGTCGAGAGAAGAAAATTATTAAAGTATTTGCTAATATTGCTATTAAAAAATAGGAATTGATGGTAGAAAGATGAACATTTAGAGTTATACTTTTAATGCCGAATCATAAAAATATAAAATAAATAATTGTCTTAAAAATAAAAAATAAACATTGGGATAGACTATCCTCGTCACTTAGGACTATGAAAAAATAGTTTACGTCCTTTTCTTGGATCTACTGAATAGACATACACAATTTCATAAGAATCCGTCAAGCCGCTTTGTAGGATTTTAGTTACAAACACTGTGACACGAGAACTGAAATTTATATGTACATTAGATACATGAGTATATATAAAACGCATGCAGGGGCGAGCCTACCGATATCACTCGAAATAATTTGTTTTATTAACGGAGTTATCCATTATCGGATAGTTAGTCAGTAAATTGACACAAAGTTTTTAGACCACATTGTAATTGCTTAATTTCGGATAGGGAAATAAAAGCCATTATTATTCGAGAGATACTTTTCGTATCTCTCGTTGCCCTAAATCAATTTATATTTCAACGGTAGCTTTTTTAATTGCCACGTTGAGTTTATAGAGACGACAGTTAAGAATATTCCACTACTCCTAAACTACGATTTGACTATCCCATCTGGTATTATGGTTGAGAAGGGATATATTTATTTATTATTGCTTAATAATTTTGATGAACTTAATACTAACTTTGGCCATTGCTGTGCCGCCTTCAAGCAGTTCCACATAATCAGGACAGGGATCGCCTGTGTAACCCCATGGGAAGATTATCACCTCTCCATAGCTATGGAATGACAGGAATGCTTTGAATGTTGCCCCCGATTCTGTAATTGTCCGCTGTAAAGAATTGTAAGAGACATAAAGTCTTACATTATACCTGATTATTATTATTAATATAATATTATTATTAAAATAGCGAACAATGTAGGTTTTAATTATAATGTCGTTTAGTACCATTTCGAATACCTACTCTGTTCCCTAGTTTATATCGAGATATCCAAGAGAGATCATATTTATATATATAAATAATACCTACAGTTAAATAACAAGTGCCAGTTAAATTAGAAATTAATACTGGCAACATGTTCAATATGATTTATAAAATATTTATTTATTTAAATTTTAAATTCTAATTACCCTAACAGCGTCTGTTTCAGGTTCAGAAAATGGTTTAGAACCTCTGAAGAAAATATTTCCAGGATCCTCTGATGATCCCTCTTCATCTTTCTCGCCCCAACCATAGCTGTAAAATTACGATAAATACTTATGTAACTAATAGCAAAAATATATTATTATACCTACCTATAATAATAATAACCTTGGACAATTAACACTTCGCCATCTAGTCCCATGGTAAGCAGAGCTTGTGTTATGGGTCTAGTATCCATAACACAACCTCTATTTACCGTGGGATATAAATATATAATATAAAACCGATATCATTACTTAAGTATATATATGTTTTGTAAATACATACACAATATACATAGAAAACACCCTGACAGATACAAACAATTCTACTCATAATACAAATGTTTGTACCATGCGAGGAATCGAACTTGCGATCATCAGAACTAAAGCGGATTCCTATACGGCTAGATCACCGAGGCCGTCTTATAAAATAATTATTATTGATTCATAATAGTCAATAAAATATATGGTATTGCACTATAACAGCTCAACTAATTGTCATGAATTTTATATTAGACATACAACTATAAGATCTCATTAATCAATATCCTAGCCATATAGATGAAATAATGAATAAAAGCTACCATACAAATAAGGGCTTACAAATTAGTAATCTAGTAACTTAACTTACCTGAAATTTCTATTTAGATCAACGCCAATACACTCCCCGTACTTGGCTCTGTTTTTCCGCCACATGCGGTCATGCGTGTGCGTGTACTCGTAACCATCTGGGTTCAGTACAGGTACTATATACCTATATGTAAAATATTAATAAATAATATCAGGAGGGAGATGCTTATTCTTTCCCATTGTAGATGACTTTGAACAAAGTTCAGTAAAGAAGAAACATGAGAACGTTACACAGAAGAAAGTTCAAATTGCAAAAGATCGATCAATACTCATAATATTAATAGATAGATTTAAATACAAAGTTGCTGTCCCCAAGTATCGTTTAGAAAAAGTCAATTGGTCTTTTATGGGACTAGGTATATAAATTTACAATAAAATACCAAAGGATATATTGGAATTACCCTTAAATAAATTCAAAACAACTGTTAAATCATATTTACTGAGAAAAGCCTATTACTCACTAACGATTACTTGAATGACGAGCGTGCATGGCAATAGTTGTTCATGCACGGGACTTTCATTTAATGTTAGACATAAACACCTATATAAATATACATTGCAAATAAACTGGCTTTAAAAAAAAATCAATTGAGTTTCTTGCTAGTTCTTATCAATTGGAACTGAAAAAAAAACGGTATGAAAAAAAAAATTATATATAAAATATTACGTTCATAAGCGGCAAAAATGTCCTACATGAATAAATTTAAATTGAAAAAAATTTTTTGAATTTGATTTTAAAGTTTAAGTAACCGATAACTAATTCACTTAGAGACAGCATAGCGAATGGATGTTTAAAGTAGTCCAAACTAGGAGATATCTATAAATTAATGATACGATTGAAGATGTTATGAAGACTTTGACATTATATTTAGAAATTATCAAGCATACCGTGTATTTATCATGATTCAGTTTAGTGTGGCTTACCAGTCTTTGTTAGTGATACTGACAGGTTGACTTTGATAGGTCCTAGTAAGTTGGTCTGCTATGTACGTAACTACAGCCGTGGTGATCCATTCGCGGGGGTGAATTGATCCGTCCAACCACACACCTGTGTTGTCGTCATTGCCATTTGAAATCTTCAGCATCTGTAATGTGAAGATAAAGGTTTACTAGTGACAGAAGATAAATGCTATCTATAGAATAAGAATCTATAGTCTTTAGATAGATAGATAGAGAGAGGAGTGGTTTAGAATAAAATATATTTCCCTATAATTTAAGTAAATTGTAGGAAATATTTTTTTTAATTTATGAAGTCAAAAATTGGAATGGCAAACTATTTAACGGCTCATCTGGTGAAAAGTGATTACCATGGCTTACATCTATGATCAGGACCAAGAGCATCACGTTATGATGCTGTTACGTTGTATCCCAGTTTCTGAGGATTAAATTTTCATACCAGTTATTATCGAAAAGTATACCTTAATATCTCGGCCTTCAGCTGAATTTCCAATAGTAGTCACCGTACAAAGGTATGGATACTCTGCAGCTAAAGTTTCCAAGAACGCGTATATGACGTCCAAACGATGGTAATGTTTCCAATCCATAATAGGACCTAAAAGCAAGCAAACTTGGCTTTAATGTCATCTTGGATGAGTTGTTAAGGTGATACAATGTATTATTGTTAATAGCTTTTTACAACAACGTCTTGTAGCAGACTATTCCGTTATTGTCCCAATATTGTCTTCGAGTATCATGTCATAAAAGGAAAACATAGCTTGGTGGCAAGGAGCATAGAGTTTTATTTCCAATTTTCTTTCGCATGCGTTAGTTTGTATCGTAATCGCCTATTACGACCTTTTTATCTTGCGGAAGACGTAGTGACATTTTGTATCACATTGTTGTATTATAGTTATTCCGTTTTTTAATCTACGTATATTGCAATTATAATTATCTAAGTAAGATATATAATACTAGAGTAGATCAAGAACATTGTCCATAATAATGTGATGTTGATATGTTCCGTATTCACTCATACATTATTGTTATAAAATATCTACTATATTATACATTAGAATGTCTTACGAATGCCGACTGAATTTCTTCTAAAAGTTTCACCCTGTTCGCGGTCAACCATCGCACTAACATCTCCAATGGCCACAGAAAATGGGATATCTCTTTCATGCAGCATCCCAGATACTTGTGCCGCTCTAGATCCCTCCACCATTACATCCATTGTACTATGCTCTTCTTTCCAAATATTAATTGCTAGAAAGAGCAATATCATTTAAAAATGCAAATTATTACTCGTAAAATCGATTATAACTTGAAAGAGGCTTGGTAATTTTACAATTAGATTACTTAACGTCTTAAGTAGCTCCTTTGTTTACTATACATTTTTTTTAAATAAAAAAAAGGTGCAGATAATAGTTCTAATCGTATTTGATATTTTTTTAGATCAACGAAAGGTTCTAAATGTATATACCTCCTGTGGTGTCCAATGATTTCACAAAACATCTCTGACCTTCCTTAATAACTTTCACTTCCCACACTTGCGTTACATTTTTTAGATGCGCCACTTTGACGGGATATCGTAAAATGGGTAAAATAATACAAAAATTTAGGTTACTGTATTTCTATTTTTAAGTAATTAAGTTTCTTCTTGTTGTTATATAACAACTTGAAATTTTGTTTTGAAATATATATAACCCAAATTGATAAGAAATACTTTATTTTGACAATGTTTGTCAAACGTAACTTCCAATGATATATTACTTTTAATAATAAATGTATCTCTCTGTTGTCTAAACTCATTTTAAAATTAAATACTGAGAAGGTACAAAACCCACTCCTTCCATAATTTTTAAAATATTCTCTTTACCTGAAATCGCATCACGATGAGATTCGAAAACAAATTTATTTTATGTTAAATTAAATATGAGCACATAAGTGGATATTGAAAATGAACATTTTCTTTATATCTTACCTTTTAGTTTTATCTTCAAATCGATCCAGCTAACGTATATCCACAAATTCCATTAAAGCTTTAACACAATTCAAAATTTCATTGGCAGTTTCTTTTATTTCTTCATTAGGGAGTTTAAACTTATGTTGTTTACTTCTTAGCTCTATAAGATAACAGTATGGTATACCGACGGCCCCGTAGCTCCAATCATTACTGGTACCGGCAGCCCCGTACATTACATCTCGAGAAATGCCAACCTTATAAGTATTGCCATTGCATTCATGAATTGCCTAAGGTAAGAACATTATAAATATACATTGCCTATGATAAATGAGACAATGAATAAATGAGTGGTAATACCCTAATGATGATGAATCAGAAATTATCGCAGGAATAGATAATAATAGTTGAAGTAATGAGTAATTCTCAGTAGGCAATACTTTATAATAATGAACTTAGTTTGGAGAATTTACTGGTTGCGTATTCAATACATAGATACGATATACAAAACTGCAATATAGTCATATCAACCGGAGTTATTTAGGTAATAATGTTGTACCAATATTTGTGTAACGTTTGTTATGATAATAGTACCGCATTATATTACGCGATCGGCTTCGATACATCTCATACATATCTTGTCAGCCAATGTCATTAATTATATAAATCAAATCGAAAATAATGTTATTAATCCTGTAGGTCTATTTGGTCACAATTAATATTAAATATAATACTATATTAGAATATTCAAAGATTTTAAGATTTTTACCTTTGCCATAACGGTGGCCCCTTCGAGTAAGCGAATGTAATCATGACACAGTTCATCTTTAAATGCGAAGGGAAATAGTATGACTTGTCCGTAACTATGAAGTGTTATGTATACTTTGAAAGGTATGCTATAGTTAGATAATATGTCCTGAAACAAATAATGGGAAAGAAAAATCTGATTTGACTGTGATTATAAACTTTATACCTTTGGTGGTCTAGTGCTTTAGCCACTGCTTCACTTATGATGGTCCATTCCTTGCATGCTACAATTACACTACAGTTATCGAGTGCCCATAACATACTACAATGCGATGTGTGAATTGTGCAGGGTTATCATTCTTGCTAAACATTCTATTGGAAACAATTTGTTAGAAAATAAAGGTCATTAAACATTTTTAATATTATAGTATAGTTGTATACGCTCCTGTACATACTTTGTATATTTATACATAGATATAAAATGTAAAATAAGGTATCAAATATTGGAACAATTTAATTTGCATGTAGCGATTTAATTTAATGCAATGGAACGATTGAAAACCCGTATAATGAAACTGATTTACGACTAAATCCTGTTTGCAGTTTAATCTCAGCATCCTATGCTTATGACACGATTTTGGAATCAATAGTACAATGGTATAATTTCATAATACTATTAGAATATTTCAAAACGACTACAATATAAGTCTACAAAATGATACTAATATTTTTACCCAGAATTCAGTAAAAAAAACTTGAAATAATACTAATAATTATTGCAGGCTGCTTGGTCAGTATGGTAATAGTAAGCTATAATATCGCACTTCTATTTTAAGAAAAAGAACAGTAAACTTAACGAGTTTTTAAGCTCTAATGGAAAAAAATGTTCTCGTTAGTTACTATAGTTATTAAGGTACTAAAGTGATATAGCAAATGTAGTTATTTTGTAGTGACCTGGTTATTGTTTGTATAATATTAACATAGTTACTAAAATGATAATAATTTATTAATTAGTACATTTTTTCCACTTAAACACAGTAAAAAAAAAATTACATACAGTTGTGGTATAAAAAACTGCGTAGGTCCTCGTGGACTCGAACTTGATTTGTAAGCTCTGTTTTGTTTGTAGGGTGCAAATTAGGCAGTTAAATTACAGGACAAGAGGAATGACGTCTTATTCCTCCGGAATGGTAACGGATTAGTGTCACTTGATAATGTTATATTCGTATTACTGTCCATGTTCATAAATGTAGGTGCCGTCACTTATTTACATGAACAGCATTACGGCTATAATATCACCGAATACTATAAGGTAACTAACAGGTACTTCGTTACCAGTGTTATTAGTTACTTTGTACTGGGTCATATCATTTGCAACAACTCTAGTAAGAAACTCGTGCCCAGCAACTTCTATATGAACTGAACTTCTATATACTGGCTTGTTATGATGGAAGTTTGACTAAATAAATACGAGCTTACTCTTACTGCAGACGATTCTGGTTCCGAGAATGGTTCAGGACCTCTGTAAAATGCATTAGTGGGCACGTTTGAGGATCCCTTACCGCCCCAACCATAACTGGAAGATTACATTTCAAACATACATTTTCTTTTAAGACATACCTATATTTCCTTAATAAACAAACTCAACTTAAACTTTCCTTAATAACAAAAAAACTCAAAATAGTGTTTCGCAGTATTTTTAAGTGTGATTACTTAATACTTAATTATCAAACTGGTGACCCGTCCCAGCTACGTACACCAGCGGTTATATTATTGAAGTTTTATTAGGGATCCATAATTTATTTCTCGTAATAAATATAGCGTTACTCAGTTATAATATAGTATTTTATCGGTGAAAGAATTTTTCGAGTCGAGCCAGTAATCTTTGTGTTTATTCGTTCAACATATAAAAGAATATAAAATCTTATCCTTACTGTAAATAAATTCTGTTTGTTATAACATCCTGAAGTTTCAATAGTTTTAAACTTTCGCGTTTAGTATACATTATTAAGAGCGAGTAATAGACGGGTCTTCACAATATTAATTTTATGGTAACTATTCATTTGCTTTACTTGACGTTTTAAATAGGTTGTAATAGCGGGGGTCACGAATTGATAAGAGTACTTACAGCGATATCAATGTCAGTAGGTATTTGTAGTTTGTGCAACGAAAGACCGTGAAAATGATACCGATAATATATTATTTTATTAACCTGAAGTTTCTATTCAAGTCTACTCCAACGCACTGGCCTCCGTGCCAAGCTTTGTTCTTTCTCCACAACCTCTCTTTGATGTGAGAATATTCGTATCCATCTGGATTCATCACGGGTAGGAAATACCTTTATAAAAATATATAAAAAATAGATTAACGTATTTTATAGTGTAATTGAAGTAATACATATATTGTTTGGTGCACCTCATAAAAAATAGTGACCATCGAATATACCTAAATTATGAGTGCTGTTAATGTATAACAGCACTCATACTTTGCCGTTGCTAATGACTAAAGCATCATGTCTCGTTTATTACTTACATATAGCTATTTTAATTTCTTTTTGAACCTTTAAGTAAAAGCAGAGATCAAAAACACATAACTTTCATCGTGATAATTAAAAAGCTATTTTCAATTTATTTTATTTTATTTTAAAATTTATATCAATTTCAGTTTTACAATATTGAAAATATTGTAAAACTGGTATTGATCTGTATTCCGTATTTTTAAACAATAACAATTCTTAACGTTCAATTCAGATATCCAGAATAATTTTGCGATAGATTAGTACTAAGTTTTGATAACTTATAATAGATCTAACCAGTCTTTGTTAGTAAAACTAGACGGAAGATTCTCGAAGTTTTTAGATATGTAGTCAGCGATGTATTTAGCAACAGCTGGTGCAATCCATTCTCGCGCGTGTATTCCCGCGTCCAACCACACCGCTGCGTTACCGGCGTCACTATTTGATATCTTTAGAATCTGTAAAAAAATCCAAATTTAATAATACTAGTGGTCGCTCAGTGGTTGAAATTAGATCATAATTAATTAAAATTATAAATTTGAACATTATTAAGGTTTTATTGTCAAAGACTTTTATACTAGTGCGAAATATGTGATTAAAAAAAATCACAGATTTCGCCAAGGCTACACTTTAATCTATTCTCAAGTTCACTACAGAGTATATATGCGTTTGTGTGTATCAAATACATGGTACTGTGAGTAATAGTTTGTTTATTAATTAATGTATTTTTATGCATAATTAAATATAAATTATTAGATTTACTACACTCCGTCTTTATATAAATTATAAGGATGCAGGATTTCATACTTCTCCGTCCGAGCAATTTTTGCAAAAAGGGGTAGAACCACATACGTATATAGATCTCGGCATACAATCCATATTAAACATGATTCTCAGTCAACTATTCATGATTATATTTATTTATAAATGCATGCCATTGAAATATATTTCGATCTAACCCTAAATGTGCATTTATTCATGTTTCACTAGAGCCTCATTGGTATATATATATACCATTAAGTTAAGCGTGAACACTATTTTATTGTTATCAAAAAAAATGTATTTATAGCGTAAAATAAATCGTAAAGAAAGGCAGTTTTCATTTAGTTTTTTGTAACTACAGTCCGAACCATAGTAGCACGAAGTAATTTATAAAAATAGTCATCTTCTTATATATAATTGTTTACCTTTAAATCTCTTCCTTCAAGCGATTGACCGATTACTCTCGTTGTACAAATAGAAGGATAGTCATATTCCAAGTTGTTCATAAACGAGTGAATAACTTCCAAACGATGATAATTATTCCAATCTAAAGTAGTCTTAACTGGAGGTTTTTCATCTGCTTAAAATAATAGCAATGATCTTATTACCTATCTTATAATTTTAGTATCTCATTCGCATTTGTATGTATACACTCAAAAGTATATTTCAAAAGAGTTTTTTTTAATCCTACATTTATTTAGGGACCATGTTAATCAACTATTGCCAATGAACAATTTCTCCATAAGTGCGACTTTAGAATCCTCTTAAATGCTCTATTGAGAAAGTTTCAAGGAATCAGTTTTTTCTTCAGATTAATTCTGAACTATATATATTTTATACTTTTTTATTATTATTAAGGGGCCCCCTTGATGGTCAGCTTGTTTATTATTCATTTACATTATAAAGTAGATGATTAAAATATAAATGTTTACGATCATTCATATTTATATAATAAATAAAGCTTTGGTACCTACTTATATTATCTTTGATAACAGTATCTAGTTTTATGAGATCTGACAAATCAGGCAGTAAACTGTCCTTTACTGGTTGATAATAGATAGATAATATTTCTAATATTTTGTAACTTTATGTTCTACAATTTTCCGGCGTCATTTTTCTAAAGTAGATATTATTAAACACCCCTGATTTATAGGTTAATTACTGTTTGCGTTGAATTCAATTAATACATGGCTATAGAAATATGACTGCTTTTTACTGCACTATTTATTGTAATTTACTATAATTAGTTGCTTCTGAGAAATGACAACGACATTGTTTTGCCAGTTAAATGTTGGCAACGACTTTTTTTTTTCCATATTCGTCCATCTCCTTTTCAGTGATGGAACAGGCAAAGATCCTTAGACCGTACAGCCTAGTCTACCTTTAAACTTCTTCATATTTGAACAAGTGATGTAGTAGTAGTGGTATATTTTATTCACAAGTGGATAGGCAAAGGTACGAGACCATACAGCCTAATCTTCAGTAGTATTTCCATGAAATTCAAAAATTCTTCAAGGCGATATATATAAACTTAATATATATATTTTTAATTCATTGTTAGACCATTAGGAATGAATTTCATTATATGTACTTTTTTACTGATGGCTCACATCCAATACCTGGAAAAATTTATGCTTAATGTTGTTCCTATGGTTTCAAATAATATAGTACCGATAAACTTTTACCACTTTATTATTATTCTACTGGAAATGACAAACAAGTTCTCACTTTGTTAATCTATACTAATATTATAACTAAGAAAATTATGTGAGTTTGGGTATTCAGGGTAATCTCCGGTATAACTAATCCAATTTAGAAAATGTATAGATAATTGGGTATAAAATATATATAGATAACAATACCAATCAAATATTTGTTTAATAAAAAATCTTGGTTTAAGAAAGGTGGAGAATTTTATCTTCTTACATTATCCACATATTATGGTCATAAATATTTAATAATAATAAGTTAATAAACTGAAAAAACGGTGATATTAATCTGTTCTTTTCCTGGCTAGTTGAAGCCACATATAACTGTTCGAGAACAATTGTACCTAGAATTTTTAATTTTTATATTATATGTAAATTAAGCATTGCTATTTACTAATATTTAATATAATAAAAAGCTGTTTAATGTGAGAAAAGTACTACTTAAAAAACATTAAGATCTCAAATTGCTTTGTGCATAAATGTACATTGGTATATAAATAGCGATATATTTGTGTTGGTTAGGTATTATAGCCAATATTCTCTTATATTTTACATAGAGACGTAAAATACGAAACAATAAATCTAAACTGATATTCTCTAAAAGTTTTGTAAAATATGTAAGCAATCGTTTAAAATGGCATTGTTTAGCTTCTTTATCTTACTTTTACGGATTACTAGTTACAGAGACTGTAAAGATAACGACCAGCGCCCGTAAGCAGTGTCTAATGAAAACAAAGGGGCCACGAACTCACCCCCCTCTGCCTCCCTGCAACCTATATTTAGTGACTAATTATCGAACAATGCTATTATGTGTTATGTACGGTGGAGAAAGAAAGTCTAAAATATTTTTTTTTAGTCATATACGTCGCAGAGCCTTGTCATTTAAAGTACTATTATAATTTAGAACATTTATTTAATCTTAGAATATATTTAGCATTATCCATAAAAATTACAACCATGAATCATCAAGGTTCAGCGATTTAGCACACTGTTTTACTTCTGATGATCACGTTCGATTCCTCGAACGATGCAAACATAGAGTATGGTTGTTTGTATTGGACTGGGTGTTTTCTATGTATTTTGTTTGCATTTACAAGAATAAGTATATTATATTAGTTGTTTAGTATCCATAGTACAAGTTCTGTACAGTACATTACTTTGTGAAAAAAAATTGTCAAAATTATGTATTCGGATACATCATTTTGTAAATTTTTATGCACAAAGTAAACAGAACTTGTACTATGGATTTTAAACAACTAATATAATGTACATATTTTACTCAACATTAATACTAATAATCTCAAATTTTTAGACGAAAATCGAATCTCATAAATGAAGTATAGCGAAAAAAAAGCAGAAAAAATCCAGTCTAATTGAAAAGTTGGTTGAAATATATTAATTAATTACAATAATATTTCACATGTTCTCACATGGTTTTGTTACAAAGTAATATTGTGAGATGTCGATAAATCTAACAAGCAAGTAACAAGCGTCACCAGGAGGGCAGGCACAATTAAAAAGATAAACGCGCTTAAGACCGAGTCGAGGCGACACTTGGGTGGCAGGGGGTGTCGTTTGGGGTCCGCTGTCTGGTTAGCGGGTTACCAAGAGATCCGAGTTACCACTGGTTTACACAATCGTTACGTGATCGAGTGAGAAATACTTATATTATTATTCAAGAACATTATAATAATTTTCAAAGGAGACCCCAAATAGACTGGATATTTTTAAAGTTTTAAGAATTATTAACTAGTAAACCTGTCTCGGATATGCACGGGTACAATTATTGTACTTACGTAAGTATTTTTTTATATAGCCCTATAAGACTCGCAAATAAGTTATATACTTTATGTAAGTGAACAAATTTTTTAAATAATGAGAATATATTGAGTTTATTGATTTATACAAATATAAAGAAAATATTTTTTTCCTCTTTGCAATATTATTTTGAATATAACCTTAGAATATCGTTATCCATATTGAGAATATAGAATAACATTTAGTGACTTTAGAAACAAGAGTAATAAACCGTTTCTAAAATATTTATCTCAAATAACGGATCTGCAACAAGAAACATGAATATTCAGATGAATCGAGATGGTTAAAAAAATGTAAAGTTTCATAAAGTCCTATGGTAGGGCCACAGTTTCATTAGAGGGGAGTGCATGGGCGAGAACAAGGCGGGCGGCGGCGGCAAGGCGTTTACTGAAAATATCTGATTACATCTAATTATCGAGCGAGCAGTGGCGCGCTGCTTAGCGCCCGAGCGCTTTTCACTACCCGTCTTGATTACACGCCCATTGTTTGCGAATATGCTCAACTCTCATCTACAGTTATAAAATTGGTAATTTTAAGACTTATTTTCAATTAGAAACATTTTAAATTCATGAAGATCAAGCAAAATTTTCCAATCATCAATCTTATTTCAAAATTCACATTATGTTGTCAAATCTGCAAGCAAATTGATAAGTTATCAAACATTATAGGGTATTAACAACTCTACTTACCTTCCCCTGAAGTAAATTATTAAGATTGAAATGTCAAAGTAATGTCAAAATTGTGATGTAAATATTTTCAGATTTCCTATTATTGTTTACATACCAAATTTTAGTGCTATATAGTCAAAGTGGCTCGCAAGAACGCGAGATATCAAATATGGGACGTGAAATGTTTAAAAGAAGGTCAGAAGACTTTTCTAAGAAACCTCGACAACAAAGGCGGTGAGTCACAATTGTATACGGTTCTAATACTGAACGTTTATCATATTATCAGATAGATGATAAGCTTGTGTCGTATGTAATATTGTTCCCCTATTTAGAATAAGTATCTGAGTGTAACATATTTTTGAATAACTAAGAATTGTTGCTTATTTTTTTAAGTAACTGGAATGACAAATTACTTGATGACCTCTTTGTTGTATTTACCATACAATGTCATGGACCGTCGCCTATATACATTGTCATGGACATTTCGTCGTAATGTGATGCTTGTAGTAGCTCATGCATCACTATTCCAAAAGACTGAAAGATTATGTCTCCGTACTTTGTAATTTTATTGTCATATAATCATATAATCTCACCCTCTAATCCAACAACAGTAGCTTATGAGGTTGCTTTTCGGCTGGCTTAAAAGGGCGAGACATAGTAGACGCGTACGACTTCTTACTCCACCTCTAGTGAAAATATTATATATATTGCAGCTATAAATATCTGCAAGGAGTACTATAATTCTATGGATGTAATAGTGGAGGGACAACGTACTATGCAGTTAGAAAAGTTGTTGAAAGAGAGGGAGATTCCTTTCGATGTGACGGTGACGGATACAACTCAATGTTCTTCTCCCAATCGTGTACGAAGCCCCATCAGTACGAGTATAACACAACGTCCGCGTTCGCCAATAAGTAATATGCTTATAATTATTTTATTGTGTTTTAAAAGAAGTTTGCAGTTCTTGAGTGATGTTTTAAACATTTGAACGTTGTAGCAGTATCTTATTAGTAGTAAATCATCAGTTAGATCTATATTTAAATGTAAAACTGTCTAAAATGTGGCCAACCATGGAAATACTTTATTACAATTGATAACATTTCCTAAATTTTCTTATTTGCTTTATCTTAAAAAAATTAATTAAAAATGTTTACTTTTAATTTTATATATTTTTTTTGTTCCAGAACGATCAATGGATTGGAAAGATTATTATCCTTTGGATATAATATATAGTTTCCTGGATGCTTTGGAAAGAATCTATCCTTCCACTTGCACTATTACTATAATTGGAAAATCTGTAGAGGGTAGAGATATTAAAGTATGTTCAGATTTTCAATTCAATTTTAATTAAATTGTATATGATTAATAACAAATATTTTTTGTAGATGTTAAAGATATCTAACAGTAATGCATCTAACACTGCTGTATGGTTAGATGGAGCTATTCATGCACGGGAATGGATTAGTACATCTGTTGTTACATACATAGCTGATCATATTGCTAGAAGTTTCGAAAATCTTCCTAATAGTATTACCAATAAAGATTGGTAAGTATATTGTTCAATACGACTTTTTATTATTACATTAATTTATTATGTTACAAATTTAATGGAATACTTTCAAGGTACTTCGTTCCAGTAGTAAATCCGGATGGTTACCATTATACGCATACACTAGATCGTATGTGGAGAAAAAATAGATCTCGAGATGGTAATAATATTACAACTGGTGTCGATTTGAATAGAAATTTCGGGTATGAATATTACAAAACTAATAAAAACTATAATATAGATGACTAAAATATTAATATTATAAGTAATATTAATAAAGTACTTTAAGTAGTACCTATGCATGTTGAAATTCGCTCTGTGTTTTTTCAGATACAATTGGGGACGGACCGTCGGTGAATGTAATGATCCCTACCATTTGAACTATCGAGGTACAGAAGCGTTCTCTGAACCGGAAACTTCAGCTATAAAGGTTAAAATGTTATTAAAAATTCGCTTCGGTACCAGAAATAAGGTTGTAGGTTTATTAATTTGAAATTTATTTCTACAGGATTTAATTTTTTATTCTGGAACACAGTTCAAGATATTCTTAACATTTCATGCTTACAGTGAAGTAATTGCATTCCCATGGTGTCACACTGCTGATCCCTGCCCTGATTATGTAACTTTATTGGAAGGAGGTACCATTATGGCTAAGGTTAATGTTAAATATATATTATAGATTAGCTACATCATTTTTTGATGGCCTCTCACTTCCAATAGTCGCGTGTACGACTCCTCGTACGATGCAAACATTCGTATTTATGATTGTTTGTATGGTCCGAGGGTTTTCTAGGTATTATATATAGTATATATATAGTATGGATTTACAAAAATATGTATTTGAGTATTTCTATCAGTTGTCTGGCACCCATAACACAAGCTCTGCTTAGCTTACTTGCAAAATATATAGCACTGTGTGAATTGTCCAAGGCTATTATTATTGTTATCACTTGTTCAATTTTTTTTAATGCAAATTAGTATTATAACATTACAAACAGGCTATCTACGAGACAAGCGGTCGCATGTATAAAGTGGGAAACTTCAAAGATATCATGTACTACGCTTGTGGTACAAGTATTGACTGGAGTTACGGTACTGCTCATATACCATTTTCCTATCTCGTCGAGTTAAGAAGTAAGGAGCACAAATTTTTATTACCAAAAGAAGAAATTGAAATTTGTTGCAAAGAGGTTCTAAGTGGCATCAAAGCATTAGCCGAGTTTGTAGATAAAAAGAAATTTTTCAATTGTATTGTCTAGAAAAACTCGATAATTTTATATGCGAATTGTTTTTATTCTATTTTATTGACATGTCCTGAATTATACATTATATTTTAATAATTATGTATTATTAAAAATAATCAGATTCAAAAATTTTCTAATTGATCATAATTATTTAATACATTTAATTGATCATTTAACAATAACACTAACTATAATGATCACTACATCTGGATTAATTACAGTTCGACTAGTACGTTATCAATTAGTTGTTATATCATTTATATCCACAAAATCCATAAGACTCTTCACTGCATTCCAAATTTCTAAACATGTGTCCATAATTTGGTCTTTTGGCAGCTTGAATTTGTGTTTTTTACTTCTAAGTTCCACCATGTAAGAGTAAGGTATCTTCGCTGTAGCATAACTCCAATCCGTACTCGTTCCACAAGCCAAATAAGTCATGTCCTTGGTGCTGCCAACTTTGTATGTCATTCCGGTACAATCGTAAATTGCCTATAAAGTAATCATAATTGTAATTCACTATAATATTTGTCCTATTATATGATATTATAATTAAATATTTATTTACGTGAACCTTGTTACCCTTGCCATCACAGTAGCGCCTTCTAACAATCTAAGGTAGTGTGGGCATGGATCTTTTTTATATCCCCATGGAAAAATAATGAGTTCAAAGTAACTATGAAATGATAGAAATACTTTGAATGGTGTTGTTGACTTTAATATTGTATCCTGAAAAATAAATACAATTAGAATTTTAAGTGAATTTTAAAATTCTCATTGCCATTGATATTTAGATTCACTGTAGGTATACTCACTCTTACGGCTACAGTTTCGGGTTCAGAAAAAGGTGCTGGTCCTCTATAAAATACATTATTTGGTTCATCAGATGAACCTTCTTCGCCATTGTAGCCCCAACCATAACTATTGGAGATAAGTGTATATCATTATTACTTTAATTTCACATAACTCTCCATAATTAAATAACAAATACTTTTGAGTGTAAACCTGAAGTTTCTATTAAGATCCACACCATATTTTCCATCGTAGCATGCCCGATTTTTTCTCCACATACGATCACGAGTATGTGTGTATTCATAACCGTCAGGATTTAGAATTGGAACGATATGCCTAGAAATATTGTACATAGTATGAGATTCTAAGAGTTTTGTTTTCTAAAAGAATTAAATGTCTATTCTGCTAACCAGTCTTTATTGATGATAGATTTCGGTAGCTTTTTAAAATTTTTTACCAAGGTATCAGCTATGTAAGTAACTACTGCAGTACTGATCCATTCACGGGCATGTATGGACCCATCTAACCATACAGCAGAATTCTGTGCATCACTGTTTGAAATCTTCAACATCTGGAAATTAATTAATATTACACTGATACACGTTAAACTGTATGTAACACCACTAAATACTATTAATGTTCTAAGAACATCTCATCGTCTTATTAGCTTTACTAGAAATAGCAAAGAAGGCATTGGTAATAAGTTTAGTCAAATAGAATTTACAAATGAAAATATATGATCTGAAAATTATTTACTTTGATGTCACGCCCTTCAACAGATTTACCTATTACAGTGACAGTACAAATGGCAGGGTAATCCTTTTCAAGTTCATCAATAAAGGCATATATCACGCTGAGTCTGTGGTATCTCTTCCAATCCATTAACTTTACTGTAATCAGAAAAAATACAAATAAAACATTGGAATAAAGTTGTAAAAAAATACTTAATATTCAATATTACTTTTCCTCTTTTTCGGTTTATGGATTGGAATTATTTGTTTTACATATTTTCCGATTAAGCCACTGCGCATACATATTCCTGTAATTTAGAAATCTTGTTTAAATGTAATTAATTGTAATTGGTAAATATAGATGTAAGTACAAATGAGTGCTATTAGAAATGCATTTAATAATAAAAACATGCTCGTACTGTTTAGCCTAGTTTGAGTACAGATATTAATTGTCTCAGACATTATAGAGAATTCATCTTCTTCGTTTTCTTCATCATCCATGAGATCATTTCTCTGTATTAGATAACCTATGTTTTTCTGAGGTATAGACGGTGAATGAGCTGTTACTGCAAGTGTCTCATTCTGATTTAAAGACATTTGTGCTGCCATTTTTTTCTAAAATAATTAGTTGATATTTTTAGTATCGTTTTTTATAGAAATTACCTATGTTCAAAGTTAACGATTACTTCTTTCGAACATAATTCTTCGTCGACTTTGAACATAACTGATAGGTATTATCATAATGCGAGAGTACCTACTATTCATTACTAAGATTAGTCATGTGTAATCAAAAACTAAAATGAGTTTTTCCGACTGGAACAAAATAATTAATGTTAATTACCTACATCAACAAATATTAGGTATCTCACGTTATTTTAACATAACTAAATAATTTCTAAATAAAAATTAGTAATACGTACAATTTAGTGTCAACTAGATTCTGACCGTTTGGATTTATGAATGGTTTATTTATTGTATACATAGATTTATATGGTAAGTTATTAAACCAAAATTATTAACTACTACACATTTCAATAACTGAGCTGGAAATACAAAAAAATTTTACTTTTGTAGAAACTCTAAACATCGTACTGTAATTTTTGAAGTGTTTATAATTACGAGTATTACACGTGACAAATGTGCTATAGGCAGCTAAAAATTCATATTTTGATTACAAAATAGTTTTTATATAATACTAAACTTTTTTGTAACTATTCTATAAATTATTTAAATATTTATGTCTTGTGTAAGTAACATTACGTTACTAACGTTGTTATTTTTTAGTTTTATAGGGTGCAACCAACTAAAATTATGGATATTGTATCATACATATTATTTTATATTTTATATTGGAATAAATTGTCAATATAGACTATGCAATTGGAAGTTTTTTATCATCGAAGTATTCAAATGAAAGATATTTAAATAAAAAGTCGAAACAAACAAATACGAGAATGTAACTGCTGAAATAGTGAATTTTATAGTTGGGATTAGGAAACCGCGAGTAGAAACTGAGCGAGGCTGGCTCGCAGTGCTGTGGTGCGGTGGCGCGTCACGTCCTCATTGTGGCGGCGGCACTGCTCGCAGCCAATCACATGGGCCGCGGTGTCACACCGCGGGCGTTGATTCTGGTGATGATTACACCATATCGTTACGACACTGAAATTAAATCGTGCTTACAAATTGTTCCTCTCATAATGCTCTTGTAATCTTCACATACAAGGTTTTGCAATTATAGTTGCGGATATAATCTGTGCTGTACAGCACCGTCCATCTGTGATATGGTAAAACACATTACAGTGTGTTGTGATCAAATATGGTGGAAACTATAGAGAGTGCGATGGGTCAGGAGTAGATACATAATATAACATCTGCAGTAATGTCGTCTCAGTAAAGCTCGACTAAGACCAAGTGAGCGAATTTTTGTTTATTGCTTAATTCTTTAGCGTTTGTCCAGAGTAAAAGGCAGTAAAGTAAAAGTATTGTATATAAATATAAAGTCATTGACTTGACTGAATTTTAACTGACTATTTAAAGGAGGTTCTGAATTATTTGATATATTTGGTAAAAATATAGATAGATAGATATAATATAGTTTATTTGCAACATCAAAACAGAAAAGAAGAGCCACAGACAATATAACAAAGGACACATGTATCGTTACAATACGGCGGCAAATATATTTGGCAAAATTAAATATATTTTTATAATTGTTTTCTTAAACGATTTTTATCGTCTATTGCCAATTGATTTTTTGACATGGTATGAATGTCAGTGTTCGTATAAATATATATCGAAGCTATATTGCAATGGTCAGAATAGTTCCTCTAACTTTTCCAGCCAAACTTTGAACTGTCGCTCAACTATGCGAATTGCAGACGCAGTCTCACTAATTGCATACAAATGAGATTGATTGAAACAGCCTGTGCTTTTTAGAGTTTTATAAACGGACAGAGAGGTTTCTAAACGGACAAAAATGGATGCATACATATATTAGTCAGTCAGTGCAAATCTATTTTAATTCTCATGAAATTTTAAATATTTCATCGATAGACACGTTAAAGTCTTCTCTGAATAGTAACAAAGCTGTCTGATATTATTTCTGAACAACGTAACCGTTTCTGACGTAAGTGTCGCTAGATAGTATGTAACTACTTTTAGCAGAATTTATAATAGAGCCCCCCCTTCGATCGATTCCCCGTAAAAACCATAAAATATGATACCAAAAAATCATACTAATGAATACAAATATTTGCACAGTGCAAGGAATCGAACCCCCAACCATCTGTCGAAAAGCGGTGTGCTAAACCGTTACACTATTACTTTTTGTAGAGATAAATGAAAATGCTTAATGAGTTACAAACGATTTGAGAATTGATCGTCGTTCACGTAATCCGAGCTTAGATTAACACCATACGGCTGGTATGCATCAATTAATTGGCTTGCTTCCTGGTCTGCACTCTGATGAATACTCCTGTATGCGTGCCGTTTGTCTAGGTAATTGATCAAAGAGAGAACTAACTTTAACATTAGCTTGATTGACCTGCATGCAACTGCACCACTTGTATTCAGTACAGCAAGGTTTGAATTCAAATTGACTTTTAAACAACTTTCCGACATACGAATAGGTTATTTGTTTTTTACTCTTCAACTAGGTTTTGTATTCACCTATATTTACGACGTTGAACTTGTTATAAATCATCATCATAACCGATTAGAGCATTTATTTATTGACTATTTTTTTGGTAGTATTGAACTATTTTTTAATGTATAAATGTGACATGTTTATCGTCGTACCTAATTAATTTTTAAAGAATTGTATACCTACTACATAATAATAGCGTGTATTTTTATAACATATATAAGTATATATAATTCCCTACCTAGTGACTATTTAGGTGTATGTACATTTCATTATTTTATTTTTAATAAAAACAGTTACATTTACAATCATTGACAAATGAAACAGTTTGTTGCCGAATACAAGTTTAAAAAATACATTGAGTATAAATCAATTATAAACAATAATTCATACCTACTAAGAATAAGTAAAAGAATTAATATTTCAGATGAAAATAAAATAGACACTTCTTACGTTCCGTAGGTTCTGCATTTTAATTTAATACTATGAAATGCTTGAAAGAGCCCAATAATATACCCTAAGGCTATTGGGGTCGACTTTTAACATAAAATTGCCAGTGTAAACAAGCTTTGGTAGCTTGTTCCGCTCGCGGGTAAAAAATGTTAGGGGATGAAAAAAAAAATTAATATACTTACTGACAAAAAAAATATATTAAGTCTCTAGGTTAAAATTAAGCGCATCAGTAATCCAACCGTGGATGGTATGCATACCAATCCTAAGTTTACAACTGTTATCCCAGATGGGGTAGGCAGAGGTATTATCAACTGCCGATGTTGTGGTTAGTGTACTAGATTTTGTTCGGTATTATTGAATCCTAAACGGGGGAGCCTACCGCCATTGTTATTGTTGTTGATTTGGTATCGTTGTTTCTTTCACTGGAGTCTGTCTGGAATATAAATGGACACACAATTCTTTTTATTGTCGAGCAGATTTGTACTCACGTACTTCGATGTAATTCAGACAAGTAAAGGACAACATAATTAATTAATAATTAGTTATGATAATTACATCAAAAAAGAAAAGTACATATTTCAATCTTGTCAAAAATTGTAAACGGAAATCCTTTAAATCAAAACGCCGAATCTTTTTAGATTTAGCCATAATGTTTCGCAACATTCTCGTACCTACACAAATAAATATATTACAAATTTTCTTCTTCTTGTAGATGGTTTAAAATAATGTACAATAACACAACAAACAGACAAACGACCGCAGCATCCTGCTCCGCGGATATTGATCCGTTATTTTTCTCAGACGCTATTACGGTAATGCAGGCAATCCCCCGACATTGGCTGCCGACCGGCGAGAATTAATGATGTCCTTTATTGGGAACACAATTTTTTGATTCTCCTCCCAAACAACGAAAAAAGAACCAGTACAGTCAGGTAGAGAATTTAATGGGTATTCATCTATTTTCCAATTTATCTTTCTCTCTAAACATTTGTGTGTATATATTAATAGAATAGGTTGTATATTTAGAAACGTGAGTAGATAAACAATAGATATTATTATTGTATTATCAATTTTTAGTTCAGAATGAATTATAAAAATAGAGTTAAATTCAGAACTTTTAGAGACTTAGATTATTTTTAATACTCTGGAGATTATGTTCTGTTCATATTGTTTGTTTTTGTTTATTTTTTATATAAATATAACAAACAACTCAATTTTTCAAAGTCCATCAAATACAATTTCGGTGAAGTGATCCCTCCGGTAGCTTTAAGTATTTCTTTCAAATAATTATCCGACAAAAACATGCCGAAATTCTTGCGGAGTTCGTTAGGCTCTTACGGGATCCCTCCCTAAGCAGAATTAATGATTCCCTTTATTGAAAGTTCAATTTTTTGATTAGGAGCCGGGAGGGCGCGTGGTCCGTACTACGGGCCCTAAGAACACTGTTTAAACACCGGATAACAGGGCATTTATTTGCATTCGGTCAATATCGATTGGATTTATTTATAAAGGCTGCGCTTTTTGCCGCTTGTGTTTGATGGTCCTTGCCAGAATTGCATTATTTGTTAGATTATATTTTTGTTTACGAATGTGGAATAATTAAATCTTATAACCCCTGTATAAATAAATATACTTTAGCAACAATATATACATAAAGACGTATTGTTGTTAAAGTATGTTATTTAAACTCGTATACGGTATATCAATGTCTAATTAAAAAAGAGATGTATAAATTAAAACATTAAAAACTAGTTGTTATACGTCTTTATCTGCTGCACATATTTTCATTCCCTATTTCATCCTTACTAGATATTTTTTTAGATGAATAATGGATGTATTGTATTGATTTGTATTACAATTTATATTTGTGTCAAAAATTAGGAACCGTTAAGCTGCTTTGTAGTGAAAAGGAAACAAGCAGACATTCATAAAAATAAAAAATAAATCTTATGAAGCAAATATAATATATTTTTTAACGTACATACAGTGAGATTACGTGATCACAGTAATATGAATACATGAACATATTTTACTTTTTGACTGCATGAAGGTTGGTCTTATGCATAACTATCAATAAGGCCGCTAGTCTCTACTACCAATTATTACCAATACTTCAATACTTTCTCCCCACCCCCCGTGGTATAAAGCCTTCTGTGGTTACAAGACGATACAAATTGCCATATCCTCAATGGATTTAACATATGAACAAATAAATTGTTGGTAAGTACAGAGAAGAATAGTGGACTAGACGGACGAATGGCGTTGCGTGGTGGAGAATGGCGGTGGATGGCGGCAGCGACCGGCGTGAATCTAATTTGGTCCGCTAGCCGTCGCTCATTTGTTCAAATTACACTCCCACATCCCTCCGTACTCCCGAGACTTGCTTGAGATATAACCCGGTATCTCTGTAACATGCGTAGAGGAAAGTATTTTCATTTCTATCTGTAGATAATTGTTCAGCGAATATAAACAATAAGTGCACCAAATAAAGTAATATTCGATAATTACAATTAAATACGTAATTTTGTT